TCAACTACTCAGGAGCCTGAGGCAGGAGAATTGAAGAGTTCAAAACCAGACTAGACCATTTTAATAAGACTCTGTTTTCAAATAAAATACTAACAGGACTGGGGATGTAGCTCAGAGGTAGGGCGCTCACCTGGCGTGTGTGAGGGCCTGGGTTCATACCTATGAGCTGCAGTTGAAAGCTCTAGGACTCTAGCTCTTCAGAGTAGGAATGGAGGAAAGACTTAAGGGACAGAGGGGAGTAGACCAAGGGATAAAGACTGGGCTTGGGGTGTCCCCGTCATCTGTGGGCACCGGACTCAGCACTGCCCTCCTGCAGGTCAAGGAGCTGGGTGTGGTCATGTACAACTGCAGCTGCCTGGCTCGAGACCTCACCAAGATCTTCGAGGCCTACTGGTACCTGGGCCAGGCAGGCAGCTCCATCCCGTCAACCTGGCCCCGGCCTTATGACACCCGCTTCAATCAAGAGACACCTATGGAGATCTGCCTCAATGGGACCCCTGCTCTGGCTTACCTGGCGGTGAGTGTGGGGCAGTGGGCCTGCTACACCAGGGAAAATGTGTCAGAGCCCCCAGCCCTGCCTGGTGAATCAGGAGCCTAGACTGTGTCTCACCCTCCCTAGGCCTCATTTCCATCTAAAAATAGATAGGCTAAGATTTCCAGCAGCAGAGTTCATGTACCCCAAACCCTAGGTGTTGACCACAGGCATTTCTTTCCATGTAAATTAATAAAATTAGCTGGGCATTGTGGCACACACCTGGAATCCCAGCTTAGGGTGGGCAGGGTGTGGGCACTGAGGCAGGAGGATTGCTTCAAATTCCAGGCCAGACAGGGTTGGGTAGTGAGTTCAAGGCCAGCCTGAACTACATAGCAAGACTGTCTCAAAAAAGAAAAAATTTTAAATAAAGTAATGAAAATTACATGGTGAATTATTCCGTTCCTCAGTTGCATCAGTTACATTTCAAGAGCTCAGTAGCCAAGCGGCAGCTCTTGTCTAGATTGCTCAAGATCTGCCTCTCAGTCAGGCCAGGTAATCCCAACCCTGGGAGGCTGAAGCAGGAGGATAGCAAGTTTCAGCCTGCCTGCCAACTGAGCGATTTAGGGAGAACCCGCCTCAAAATAAAAAGGAGCTGAGGATATAGTTCAGGGCAAAGGCCTTCTGTTCAGTCTCTAAAACTGCAAAATAACAAAATAAAATGCCGGGTGTGGTGGGGCACACCTGTAACCTCAGCACTGGGGAGGCTGAGGCAGGAGGATTGCCACTGAGTCCAAGGTCAGCCTGAATTGCATAGCAAAACCCTTTCTCAAAAAAAAACCCAAATAGGGCCAGGGATTTAGCTCAGTGATTCTACCACCTGCCACCTGCCTTGCAAGCACAAGGACCCGAGTTCAATCCCCAGTACCAAAAAAACAAAACAAATAAATACATACATACATATACATTAATAGTCCTAGGGCAGGGGATTTAGTTTAGTGGTTTGGCCGCCTGCCTTGCAAGCGCAAGGACCCAAGTTTGATTCCTGGTACAAAAACACAAAACAAACAAAACAAAACAAAAAAAACTTACTTCTTTGTCTCAACTACATAGTGAGACCCTGTCTCAAAAAAGAAACAAACAAAAAAAAGAGGCCGGGTATGGTGGTTCATGCCTGTAATCCCAGCACTCGGGAGGCTGAGGCAGGAGGATTGCTGCGAGTTCGAGACCAGCCTGAGCTACATAGTGAGTTCCAGGTCAGTCTCAACTACATAGTGAGACCCTGTCTCAAAACAAACAAACAAACAAACAAACAAACAAAAAAACAGTCCTAGGCTCCACCCCAATATTTTTCTCTAGAATGCTTTGCACAGTGAGCCATAAGGGTTTGCATTTCTAAGAAGTTTCCAAGTGACATTCTTGCTGCTGGATCAGTAACCACTCAGCATAAATTTTGGAATCAGATGGGTTCAATTCCTGGCTCCGTTTATCAGCAGTGTGGCCTTAGGCCGGTCGCTTACCCTCTCTGAACCTGTATCATCCCCTGAGAAGTGGGCGTGGTAATTAACCCTCCCCATCTCCCGCCCCATCACGGAGGCTAAGGGCTCAGTGCATTCCACTGGAGCTGGCTCTGGTGAGCTGTGGTACGCAGGGTCCACTGACGATGCCCCTGGCTGGGGACTCGTCGTGACTGCTCCCTCCCCTCCAGAGTGCACCCCCACCACTCTGTCCCAGTGGTCGCACCCCAGACCTGAAGGCTCTGCTCAATGTGGTGGACAACGCCCGGAGCTTCATCTATATCGCAGTCATGAACTACCTGCCCACTATGGAGTTCTCCCACCCGCACAGGTACTTCAAGGCACACATCGGGCTCAGGACGGGGAGCCCCTGCCTGTAGAGGGAATGATGGGGCTCTGAGAGCAGGCAGGGAGGCCAAAGCAAGGGTGAGAGGCACAGGGGAAGCCATGGGGAGAAGGAGGTGGCAGGGTCTGGGTGTTTGAGGTAGAGAAGCAGGCATTGTTGGGGAGATGGGAGAGGCTGCAGGTAATGAAGACAAGGCTGAGAATATTGGGGCTTGGGGACAGGTATGGGAAGCTAGAAACCTAAAGTAGAGGGTGGAGGATGCGGGGTTGGAGAAGGTAAGAAGTCACAGGATAGAAACGGTGTGAAGGGTTAGGGGAAGGGGACTGGGCATGCAGGGTCGGATCTGTGGTCCGAGGCAGTGTGGGGTCAGCAGATGAATTGGGGAGACTGTGCGGTGGCATCTGCCTGTCATCCCAGCACATTGGGAGGCTCAAGCAGGAGCTTCGCAAGCTGGAGTCCAGCATGGGCACCTGAATAAGACCTGTCTCGAAATCAAAAATAAATGGCTAGGGATATGACTCAGCAGGAAGGCCCTGGGTTTAATCCCCAAGGCCACAAAAATAAAAAGAGGACTGGGTTTTGCAGGGCACGAGAGGGAACCAGGAACAGGAGGAGATGAGGGGCCTAAGCAGGGAGAAGGAGAGGCTGGGAGCCAGCAGTGTGGTGCTTCTGAGATTTGGGGGCTCTGAGAAGTTAACTCGGGCCAGGCTTGGCTCCCCAAACCTGAGGGCCAAGCCTGGAGACACAGCTGCGCTCCTGCCGCACAGCCGCTCGCCTCACCCCCAGGTTCTGGCCCTCCATCGACGACGGGCTGCGCCAGGCGGCCTACGAGCGGGGTGTCAAGGTGCGCCTGCTGATCAGCTGCTGGGGACACTCCGAGCCGTCCATGCGCCCCTTCCTGCTCTCCCTGGCAGCCCTGCGCGACAACCACACCCACATGGACATCCAGGTGGTAAGCAGTGCTGGGGACACAGCCCAAGTGGAGCTCACGTGTCAGCCGACGCGATCCACAGCGAGCCCTGCCACGATCGGGAAGAGTGGCCAGAACAGGGAGGTGCAGGCAGAGGTTGGGGATGGGATAGCAGGGCATGAAAGAAGGACCTGACCTAGCCTGAGGGGTCAAGGATGACATTCTGGAAAGGGGCATCTAAGATGAGACTTCGGGGATGAACAGGAGCCATTCTAGGGAGCAAATCTGCAATAGGCTTGACAGGGTCTTCCCTGCTGTCAGTGTTCACTAGGAGCCCCTGGCCCTGCCAGCTGGTTGTTCGCCCAGCTGCATCTTGCACTCCTTGCCACCCCCTGTCTTTGGCAGAAACTCTTTGTGGTCCCAGCAGATGAGGCTCAGGCCCGGATCCCATACGCCCGTGTCAACCACAACAAGTACATGGTGACCGAACGTGCCGCCTACATCGGTAAGTGACCCAGGGGACAGAAGGAGGGAAGGCCCTGGCACCAGAGCCTGGCCAACCCCTCGTGGTGGCTGTTCTTCTCCATCCCCTCCTCCTAGGGACCTCCAACTGGTCTGGCAACTACTTCACGGAGACCGCGGGCGCCTCGCTGCTGGTGGCGCAGAACGGGCGTGGTGGGCTGCGCAGCCAGCTAGAGGCGGTTTTCCTGCGGGACTGGGACTCTCCCTATAGCCACGACCTTGACGCCTCTGCTGACAGTGTGGGCAACGCCTGTCGGCTGCTCTGAGGCCCAGTCCAGTGGACAGGCCAAGGCCTGTGAGGCCCCCGTGGACCCAGATAGGGTCCCGGTCCCTGTCCCCATGCCCCCGCTTCTGTCCGCCCCATTGTGGCTCTACAGGCTCTCCCCTGCGCTCCCACCTCTACCTCCACCGCACTGGCCTGACGCTATGGCCCCGGGACCTAGCAGAGCTGGGGGAGGGATCAGCCCCTGAAAAAGTGGGGGTGCATGCTGGGCCTGGACCCTTGGCCCACCCCCCTTTCCAGGGCAAAGAGGGCCCAAAATTATAATAAGAAGTAAATAATTGTCTGTATAGCCTGTGCCTGACTGAGTGGTATGGGGGGGCGGATAGGTGACAGCTGGCATGGGCCTCTGGTGGGGTAGCTTAGTGTGCTGAGCCCTCGGCATGTGACCAGTGCAGTTTGGTGTGTGCTCAGCATGCCGTGTGCAACCGTGTGGGCTGGCTCCGGCTGAGCACGTGTGTAGCCAGCATGGGGTAGCATGTGCCACACACTAAGCATGCTCCAGGTTACAGCATGGACTGGACCATGGCCATATCCCAAGGGTGGACCAGCATGCCTGAACCTTGGAGTGTGCGCCTAACATGCATTTATGCCTGCCGGCTGGATTTGCACTTAGCATGTCCCAGGCACAGGCAAGTGCACGTCAAGCCTGAAACATTTAGGAAGGTCTGGTGATCAGTGAGACCTCAGCATTTGGCAAACTCAAATGATCTGGGGCTGGATTTGCAAGGTATCAAGCACTTAGCACATTTAAGGGGTGGGTTGGTGTACCAAGCACAGCCTCTCCCTCTCAGTGCCACACAGCCCAGCCCCTAGCCTGAGCCAGTGGTCAGCTGGGTACAGCATGGCAGAGCCAGGCCCTGGGTGCCAGCCTGGTGCCCATCCCTTGGGACAATCCAGGCCTCAGGCAGTGAAGACAGGCAAGAGGCAGGACTGCTGAACAGTTTTTTTATTGAAATAGGTGGAGGTAGCAGGACCAGGGCAAGCTTGGGTCAGCGGATTGCAGCCCTGTTTCTGCTGAGCCTGGCCAGGAGGGCCACGGGCCAGACTTCTGGGGCCTCTGGTTTCCTGGGGGTAGGTGTGGGCGTGCCCTGGGGGCAGGGGGCATTCTGGATAACTGTCTTTCTGTAAGAATAATGTGTGGCTTTGGGGGACGGCTCTGAGGAATGGTTCAGGACAAGGAGATGCCAGCCCCAGCAGTGCAGCTCCCAGTCATGGGTAGGGTGTGATCGCCGTCACTGATGCCCACCGACATGCTGTAGAAAGCTGGTGCCCCGGGGTGGAGCATGCGGGTGGAGGTGGCGGGGTGGGACTCCCTGAGCCCGCAGGCCTCTGATGCCCTCCAGGGTCCAGTCGGCCTCACTTAGCCATTCTCCAGGACAGTAATTGGGGTTGAAGAGCTCGGGGCCTGACCTCTGTGGGGAGAAGAGGGCATCAGCAAGAAGGTGCGTGCTGGTCTTCTGTCCCACACCCTCCTGAAACGGGAGCATGCACGAGACCTCCCCCCAGGGCTCAGGTGAAGCAGGTTGCAGTGGCTTGTGCCGTCCTGAGGGTTGCATGTGCCCCACCGGATCACCTTATGAGGGCCGATTAGCGTTCACCAAACCCGCTTTCCTGAATATGGGCTCATGTGTTCTGGACCCCACAGCAGCTGCAGACATGCAGGTGTGTGGGAGGCAAGGCCTGGTGATCTGTGCCCCCATGCTGAAGCGAGCTCCAGGGGAGGCCCTGACCTACCCACGCCCAACCCCCAGTTTACCTCCTCGTCCATCGCTGTGTCCTGGATGCAGGGCCCGTCGCCCTCCTGCTGTGGGATGGCAGGTGGCTCAGCAGGGGCCCCCTGGCACTCTCCGTCACAGCCGCTGCCCCGGAGGGGTCCGTCGTCCTCTGGCGAGGCCTGACTCAGCCGGATGAGGTTGCTGAAGTTGGAGTTGGACTTGGAGCCCGAGGGCAGCCTGCGGGTCTTGTGGCGGCCTGCCAGGCGGCTACTGTAGAAGGCTAGGATGGGTTCTGGGCCCGAGCTGGGGACCTGGCAGCTGGCGGTGGCCGCCTTGAGTGTGGTCAGCGTGTCGGAGACCCTGTCGGCCTGGGCTTCACCCCACAGCCCACACCCGGCCTCCTGCAGGCTCAGATCGTCCAGCTGGTCGATAGCCCTTTGCATGCCTGGTGCCTTTTCATCCTGGAAGAAGGGCCCGCCATTTGCCAAGCCACCTCTGCCCACAGCGGACATTGCCTCCTCTTCTTCCTCTTCCTCTTCCTCTTCCTCGGCCAAACGGTAGTAGGGCGGCTTGTCCTCAGCGGAGGCAGCGGCAGACAGAGGTGGCCTGCCCTCAATCTGCAGTGACTGGCGGCAGCCCTGCAGCGACAGCTGGTAGTAGTGCGTGCCCTCGTGGGTGCTGCGCAGCTGCTGCATGGTCACGAAGGGGTGGTGCAGGGCTGCACTGGGGCTGATGCGCTCATGCGACTCCCAGGTCAGCATGCGCTTGATCAGCTCCACCATGCTCTTGAGATCGGCAAGCTCGGCCAGCGCCTCGCGGTCCAGGAAGCTCAGCCACCCCGCAGCCCCACCGCAGTTCACCGTCTCAATCTGGTCCAAGGACTTGAGCATGTACTTTCGGCGCTCCAGTGGGCGCACCTAGAGGGACATAGGTGGCACTGCCAGGTGGTGACAGTCCAGGCCCCGGGCCCCACACACTCTGGCGCTGGGCCCCACTTGCAGCTCTGCTTGTGATCTGACCTGGAGCTGTCTTGCTGTTAGCAGGCTGCACCTGATCCCTCGCGCTAGACCTGTCTAGTCCAGAGCTTTTCTGCTGCTGTGGGAAAGGTGCCCAGCTGCACCGTTTGGTCCTCCTGTCACCTAACCCAGAGCCTTCTCTGAACCAAGCCCCACGCCTCACCCTAGGCCTCTAGTTGTGGGTCCAGCCCCTACCAGAGGCTAGCATGGGGGCGCCCTAAAACCTTCAGTCTTCCCTGGAGTCAAATCCAGACCCTTCTTGCTGTCGCAGCCTCCACACCTGATCCCAGCCCTCCTGCACACACACCCCACCCCGTGGTTGGACCCAGGCCTTTCTTATTACACAAGTTTGATCACTCCAGCCATGGAGCTATCAGAGAACCCGCCATAAACTCCATTCCCCCATTGGTGTCACCCGACCCTTCCTGCTGTGAAAGTTTCCATAATGGCCCCAAACTTCTGGTCCCCACTGCTGTCTAACCCAGGTTCTCCTTCTGCACAGGGTTGATGACTATAATCCCAGAGGGAGCAGGGGGCCTGCCTTAAACTTCTAGTCACACCTAGGGTTCTCACTCACATCCCCCTTTCTGTCATGACTCACATCCAGCCCCACACCGGTGTCCTCCGCATTCTGACTCAAATCTCCTCTGCTGTACAGGTTGTTAAGGACAGATCTGAAGCCGGCTGAGAAGCTGCCCGAATCCCACCGGCATGCTTGTGCTATAACCCAATCCCTCCGGCTACAGCAGCCCTTGACCTCTGAGCCCCAGACTTCCATTCCTCCCTGCAGAGTCACCAAGATGTATCTTACCGCAGCAGTCCCAAAGCTGATCCTCAGATTCCCAGCCATACCTTCGGTCTCACCCAGAATTTTCTGGCTGTGAAAACCCTCACAGCTGACCCCAAGCTTCTGTCCTCCCTAAGGTCTAATGTAGCAGCCCCCTTACTGACTGCCCTCACCCTGCCCACCCTCCTACCTTGGTCTCCGCCAGGTAGTCAGTCAAGGACTTGAGCTGCCAGGGGTTGGCGGCATCAGGGTGGGGGTTGCGCTTGAAGAAGTGATGGGCCTTGCGGGCGGCGTGCAGCAGGTGGGGCTTGGGCAGGCCCTGGGTCTCACAGATGTAGCGCACCTGGTCGTACTCATTATTGCCCGGGTAGAGGGGCCAACCCAGGTGCAGCTCGGCCATGACGCAGCCCAGGGACCACACATCCACCTTCTCGCAGAAGGGCAGCCCCAGCAGAATCTCGGGGGCCCGGTAGAAGCGGGACTGGATATAGGGCTCCTTCACGTAGCGCACCTCACTGAAAATGCTGGCTGAGCCGAAGTCGATCACCTGTGGAAAGCAGGGGGTGGGGACAAGGGCAGATGAGCAGTGTGGGGTGGGGGACAGCTGACCTGGGCCTCCGGGCACCTCTCACCTGGTGTGCTGTATCTGTCCTTTGGCTCTGCCTGTGAGCCTTCGTCTCCTGTTCTCCCATGTGTGTCCCTGTCTCTGTCTTCCAGCCATCGCCCCTGGGTAGTGTCTGACTCCCTGTGTCTCTGATTCTCTGCCCTAGGTCTTTCCTGTGGCTCTGAGGGTTGAGACCTTTCTCTCTCTCTCTCCAAGACACTTGCTTAACAGCAAATCAGCTTTGGCTCCGGCCTCTTTTTTTCCTTTTCTCAGGAGCAGGGACTGAATCCAGGGCTTCACACTAAGCTAAACCTCCTGCCCTTCTTTTGTTATTTTGAAACAGTCTTCCCAGACTCCTCAGGCCGAACTCAAACTTGCCATCCTTCTGCCTCAGCCTCTCAAAGTGCCGGGATTAGTTGCAACCACCACATCGAGCTGGACTCCACATTCCAACAGACCCCAATCTGCTCGCTCTGCCTTCCCCCGACTTTCTCCCATACTCACACTCCTCTCGTCACATGGGCCTCCTCACAGTTCCTCACACACCACACCTCCCCTGCTCAGGGCTGCTCCCTCTGCCTGCACCGCTCTCTCTCCGGCTTCCATGTGCCTCCCTCCATCTTTTCTTTTTGGTCTTCACTCAGATGTCACCCCAGTGAGGACTTCCTGGCTGTCTTGTCAAAAACAGCAGCGCCCACCTTTCCCGCTCCTAGCTCTAACTTTGACTATTGCTCGTAACACTATATTTTACACATTATGTATTTTACTTTTTATCATCATTTTTCTCTGCACCTAAGGATGCCAGTCCTAGTAGGGCAGGGATTTTGTTTGATCTGTTCAATGCTGTGTCTCTGCAGATCTAGAACAATGCCTGTAGCTGGGTGTGGTGGTGCACACTTGTAATCCCAGAACTTGGGAAGCTGAGGCAGGAGGATTGCTGTGAGTTTGAGGCCAGCATGGACTACACCATGAGTTCAAAGCCAATCTGAACTACATAGTGAGACCCTGTCACAAAACAGAACAAAACAAAAACTGCCTGGAATGCAGGGGGCTCGGGAAGGATGGGTGATGGAGGGATGGACAGATAGATGGACGCATGGATGAGTGGAGGACAGATGAAGAGATGGATGCTTGGATGGATGGGCTTATGTTTCTATCATTCTTCCACACTCTTGCTTGTCTCTGCAACTGCCTCTTCCTAGCTTGAGCCTCATGCCTGAGTGCCTCCTTTGTTTTCATTTCTGTGCTACCCACTTCTGTCTTCATCACCAGGCACTGTTTGTGCCCTGTATGGCCCTTGAACCAGCAGTGTGAATGTAAAAACCATTGTTTTTCTCCATACCTCTGAGGGAAGCTGTCTGCATTTTCTTGCTGAACCTCCAAGACCAACCTTTTTTATTTTTTATTTTTTTTTAGTTTGTTGAGATAGAGTCTCACTGCATAGTCCAGGCTGGTCTTAAGTTCACTATATATAGTCCAGGCTGGCCTCAAATTCGTGACGATCCTCCTGCCTCAGCCTCCCAAGTACTAGTATTACAGGCATGTACCACCATTCCTGGCCAGACTTGCTTTCTCTTGGTAAAGGTCTTGGTTTCCCTTGTCTGAGTTTCTTTGTTTTTCATTCAACCTTGGTTGGTTGGTGGGTTGGTAATGGGGATTTAACCCAGGGCCTTTGCACTGAGTTATATCTCCAAGCGTTTTTAAATTTTGGGGATCTCATTAAGTTTCTAAGTTGCCCAGGGCTCCAGCTTGCCTTACCCTCTCCAAATGCTGGCACCGCTTGGTGTATACCACCACATCCGGCTCCTCACCTTCTGTTGGCAGAAGCCAGTATCAAGCTATGGTTATTAATCTCGATTCTGAGCCCAGCCTGCTGGGCCAGGACCCTGAGAGGTTGAGTGACTCTGGGAGCTGTGCCAATGCCTGTTCGTCTACAAGCAGGATCAGTGTGCCAACACTGGCTGGGTGCTGGGCATCCCCGGCTGCGTGTATGGAAGTCCCTCGTTCCCTGGGTCTCTGGGCAGAATGATTTGTCCTCTCCTGTCTGTGTCTCCCATACATTCGCTGAGTGCTGCCTCCAACTTTAGACGGGGAGGTGCCCGGGCCCAGGCCTGCTCTCAGAACGCTCCAGGCTCAGAGCCATCACCAGAGAGTGACGAAGCCATAAACGGACAGAGGGGTCAGGGCTAGGATGGTAGAGGGTCATGGAGGTGGGTGGGGAGCAGAGGTACCCTGGTGTGCCCAGCACAGGACAGGGCCTGGTGCAGAGAGGCCTCTGGTGAATGTTGATGGATGAGGTGACGGTGACAAGTAATACTGCAGTCACACTTGGCAGCTGTTCAGACCAACACCGCTCCTGAACCCCTCGGGTCCTCCTGCCTCTCTCCCGCTTAGTATCGGACCACCAATTGACCCGCTGTCTCTAGCTCCAGTCTACCCAGAGCCCACCCACGGCTCCTCCCATGCCCACACTGTCCCTGCTGTGTCCCCTGTCCTGCCCACCCCCTGTAAGGTTTCCCTCCCACAGGAAGCAGCCCGACCATGTCATTCCTCCACTGAGCATCCATCTGCGGCTCCATCTCCCACAGAATAAAACCAAAGTCCCTGATGGGCCTCTCGAGGTCCTGCACAACCCCACCCCATCACCTCCTTTTTTTTTCTTTTTTTTACAGTTTAGGCTGGCCTTGAATTCACTGTGTAGCCCAGCCTGGCCTCAAACTCAGGGCAATCCTCCTGCCTCTGCCTCCCGAGTGCTGGGATCACAGATGTGCGCCTCCACACCCAGTGCGCACTGGCCATCCCCTCTATGCTTTTTCTCTGTACGTCCACGCAGCTCCCCGCACCTCCTTGGGACTCTCTTCCAACATCAGCTTCTCAGGGAGGCCTCCCAGATCACCACGTCTAAAACTGCGCTCATCACCGCTCCCACCCCGTTCCACAGCCCACAGCCTTCTCCTCCAGCTTTTATCTTCTCTCCTTCCCGTTTTCCTGGGTCACCTCTCACTCCTTCGTGACTCCTTCGTGACCCTTATAGATCGCCAGCCCCAGAAGGACAGGGTTGGGCCCAAGAGCTGAGCTGGGAACGGAAGTGGACAGGGAACCCTTAGGGCCTGGAGGGGCACGGGGGGTCCTCGGTCTGCAGTGGAGATGGGGAGCCTGGCACGGGGAGGGGAGGAAGACCCCAGGGCCAGGAGGTGGCACAAGCACCGGGGCGGGGCAGCGCCCTCACCTTGACCCTGAAGGGGCAGCGGGTCTGGTCCACCAGCATGATGTTCTCCGGCTTGAGATCCGCGTGGATGATCGCCAGCTCCTTGAGCCGCGCCAGGGCCCTGAGTACCTGCAGGGTGACTGTCCGGATGTGGCGGGCGGGGAGGGGCGCGAAGTTGTTCTCCTTCTGGAACTCGAACAGGTTTTGCTCCAGCAGCTCGAAGACCAGGTAGAACTTGAGGGCATCGTGGAAGAACTCGAGGAAGCGGACGACGTGGGCTTCCTCGGGGTCCAGGCCCCGCATGCAGCGAAGCAGCTTCAGCTCGTTCTTGATGATGCGGCCGCGGTACACGTCGTTCTTTAGGATCTTGATGGCCACCATCTCGCCGGTGCTTCGCCGCCAGCCCTTGGCCACCTCCCCAAAGGTGCCCTTGCCCAGCACCTCAATGATATCGTAACAGTCTGTCTCTGATTGGATGGTGGCCATGGTGCCCCTGCCACCAGAGGCTGTCCTGCTCCGTCCCCCAACCACAGGCTCTGTCGCCGAGGCCTCCCACTCTGCGGCCGGCCCGAGGGTCCCCCAGCGGGGAAAAGAGAACCACGCTCTCGCCTCTCCCTGTGAGGTTGGCCCCCAAGTCCCTGGTACCGCTCAGCCCCCTTGGCCACTCGGTGAGTCTGCCAGGGGCTGCACCCCTCCCCCAAAGCCCTTCTGGCTTGGGACGAGGGGCCGCAGGCCACTCCGAATGAGTTCTAGTGGCACTGAGTGGCTCTGGTTCTGTTGTTGGAGACCTGAGCGCCAGCTAGAATGGGGGGTTGGGTGCCAGGTGGGGCCCCTCCCCCACCCCATGACGGAACCCTGGAGAGGCACGCAGGGCAAGGGAGGGCTGAGAGGGATTCTGATGGTGGACCTTGGACGTACAGTATGGGAAAGGGGACAGACCTACAGACAAAAGTAAGGAAAGGCAGACTTTTCACGTTAAGGGGAAGTGCCCGTGTGTGTGTGTGAAACGTCCTCCCAGCCTGTGGTTGCCATGCGGTAGATGTAATGGGTAGATGACCCAGATAGTAAAAGGTTCTGAATACAAACTAAAGAGTTTGGCTTTTGCACTAAGGGCACTGGGGAGCCAAAGCAGGGGTTAGAGCAAGGGAGGACAGGGTCAGATCTGAGTATCAGAAAGTATGAAGAGGGGTAAATTGGAGGGCAAAAGAGTGGAAGCCCCAAACCCAGAACGAAAGTCAAATCAGGGCCCGCCCAGGTGACAGAGATTGGGGAAGAGTGAAGGAGGTGGTTGGATGGAACATTTGAAAAGCCAGGAGGACTGGCCATGGAACTGACCAGGTGTCACAGAGAGGAAGAAGCTATCTAAAACAAGACCCAGGGCTGTTTTATTCTGGGGAGAAAATGCTGAGGTAAGATTAGGGAATTAACATAAAATCATCCAGCTGGGCGTGGTGGCGCATGCCTGTAACCCCAGCACTTGGAAGGCTGAGGCAGGAGGATCTCCGTGAGTTCAAGACCAGCCTGAGCTACATAGTGAGTTCCAGGTCAGTCTCACTACATAGTGAGACCCTGTCTCAAAAAACCAAAAAACCAAAAA